AGAGAGAGAGAGAGAGAGAGAGAGAGAGAGAGAGAGAGAGAGAGAGAGAGAGAGAGAGAGAGAATGAATTCAGTCAGGCACTGCAGAGCCCAAAACCTTGCTATGAATTTCAATTTTATGTTCCTGGGAACTCTTAATAGATTTGCCAGATAAAATATAGAACACACAGTTAAAGCTGAATTTATGATAAATATGATATAATTATTTAGCACAACTATGCCCCATGCATACTTCAAAAATATTCTTTATCTGAAATTCAAATATGACTGGGCACCCTATATTCTTATAATATGTAGGTTTCTTTGCTAAATAAAACACGAACACTGGCAACCCTATCCCTGAGGAGTTCAAGGAACTTATGACTGACAAATCATTCAATAGCCTCTGGCACTAGAGGAGACATGAAAGAACAGAAAGGTCATTTTAATGTCTGCTTTATAGATAATGGCTTAACGATTAACTCAGTTTTTTTTTTTTTTGTTGTTGTTGTTGTTTTTGACAAACAAGCTGGGACAAAAAATAAATAAAAAGAAAACAGAATAATTCTATTAGATCATCTGATACCCTTTCAAGAATTAAATATAATATCTTTTGCCAGATACCAAGCTTTCATTACAGGCAAGTATCTTATCTCTAAGTGGGCTGAAAATATAAATACATAAAGTTTAATTCTTTAAAGATTTAAAAGTTAGCTGGATATCATAGCACACCTCTCTAGTCCCAGCTACTCTGGCAGGCTGAGGCAGGGGGATGATTGAACCCCTGGGGTTCAAGGCTAGCCCAGGGAGCCCAGAAAGACCCCATCTCAAAAAAGAATGAAACTTCTATAAGACGATAATTCATAAAATGCAGTTCACAAAAAGTTGGTTTTATTTGTCCTTTCAACTGAGATATAGAGTTCCCTTTCACCCGGCTTTTAAAATCATACACAGAACTAAAAAGGCAACAGAAGTTGTAGGTCACCAAATGCTGTAGTCTGAATATCTATGTCCCCCACAAAGAATTTATATGTTGAAATCCTAACTCCCAAGGTCATGATATTAGTGGGGAAGTCTTTGGGAAGCGATCAGGCCATGAGGGTAAGAGTCTTCAAAAATGGAATTAGTGCCCTTATGAAAAGAGGCCCAAGAGAGACCTTTGCCCCTGATGTAGAGGTTAGAGTGAAAAAAATGTCTATGAACCAGAAAACAGGGTCTCATCAAAACCAAATCTGCTGATGCCTTTTAGACTTCTTAGCCTTCACAACTGTAAGAAATAACTTGCTATTTTTTAATCCACATAGTCTATGACAGTTTGTTGTAGCAGCTTGAATGGATAAAGCACCCACTCACAAAACTAGGAATGCCTAGTAATTAAAAAGAGAAAACATGAAAATAAAAAGGTGCTAATGGAATAAAGTGTCTGCAACAATTCCCAGGGGTTCTTGATCTCTACTGTACCCTCCTCCATCCAGAGAAATGAGTCCCTTGCTTCTCAGCCCTGGGCATTATTGAACTGGTCATTCACTCACTCATTCCACAAATATTTAATGAGCGCTTTCCATGTACCAGGCCCTATGCTCAGTGCTTGCGACACAGCAATGAACATATCAGACAAAATCTGTGAATACATGTGGCTTATATCTTATAGTTCAGAATTCTTTTTTTTTCTTTTTATTTCCTACTAAACATTTTTTTGAACACTTTATCTTGAGCACTTTCACTTTTTCCCACTATTGCTCTTCCCATTTTTCTTTTATTTTATACAGTTGACTGTTTGGAAAAGTACAAGTAGGATTTTCACCAAATTCTGTTAATTTTCTCAAAACTGCCAACATTTTCTTATATTTGGTAAATATTAAGACCTAAAGGGACTTAGGTCTGAAACCTAAAAACATAAATTGAAACCTTAATTTTTAAACATAGACACTAAAACATTCTATTCAGCAATCAATGAAAAATATGATGAGAAAGGAGGCGAAGGAGGAGAAGGAAGGTGGGGGGAAGAAGAGTTGTGTGTGACTCACCAATTCTGTAAATAAGAACTTTGCTGCCAGTGGGATCCCTGGATCTCAGAACTCCATGGTAGCCAGCCTTCAAAAGTCCAAGGATACTTCCAGGATGAAGATCTGCGCTTAGTTCTGGACATTCTGCTCTCCATTTATAATAGTTTTTTAGTAACTGAAAAATAAAATTAAAACTGTCCACAGATTGTACACCTGGTAAGCATTTTGTGATAACAGTAGGAAAACCTTGACATTATATGAACCTAGACATCCATTAAATCCAGTATATCTGGATTTTAATCTGGGGTATCTTTTAGCTGAGCATGATAGCATCCATCTATAGAGCCCAAGTCTAAGGTAACAGGAGTTTTTCATCAAATAATTTTCAGTCTAGTAATTTTCAGTTGCCACCTAGAGTAGATAGTGTCTAAAGTCAGCTACCAACACGTCTTCCCCTCCTGGTATATACATTCATTCCTTCTAGCAGGCAGTGGGATCTATTTATTTGATTCCCGCCACCTGTGTGTGAGTTGGCCTTACACTTTACTTGGACCAATAGAAATTGGTGGAAATGACACTGCACCAGGTCTTAAAACACCCTGGAACCTTCTGAATTTGTTGTTGTTTTGTTTTTGAGACTCAGACACCATGTAAGATTGTTGAATGAAAACAGTTCACATGGAGAGAAGCCCTGGAGGTTGAGAGGTCATCCTGGTTAGGCTTGCTTAACCAAGTTCCCATCTGGTGTCATGTTCAGCAGAGATGAAGCATCCCCACTGAGCCCTGTCCAAACTAGAGAACACAAATAAATAGTTGTGCTTTAAGGCAAGAAGTTTTGGGATGTTTTATTACTCAGCAGAAGATAACTGAAATACCACCTTTAGTATTAAAAAAAAGAAGAAGAAGAATAGAGATCAATCAACTGAATTAAGAGAGCCCAAGGAACAGTACACCTGGCTAAAAAAATCTTGGCAAAACATGTTTTAAGGAATCCGACATTCTTCCCACCCCACCACCTGCCACCCCAAAATAAACACCAGAGATGGCCAATCAACAAATGCACTGTAAAGAATACTAAAGTAAAGGATATATTTAAAAATTATTATATTTTAATTTTCATCTTTATGATTTTCATCCTTCTCAATTTTTCTAAAATAACAGTATTTTATTTTCAGTTTAAAGACACCTATTAGCAATGTGGAATCACAGTTAAGGCAAAAAGGAAAAGATAGATTTTATATTTGAAATGCATTAGAATAAAGATGGTAACCATAATCACAAAAAGCAGTAATGATCTGGAGGAGAAACTACAAATAATACAGGAAGTAGAGGTAGAAATTGTGAGCCCTGGAAAGTGTCCCTGGCTGGGAATGGCTGGGGGAGAGAGAGGCTGGCTGGGCCAGAGAGGAGGAGCAAAGTCATCAGCATCACCCGGCCCGCCTCCTCTGATCTTGTCTCCCTCTCTCTGTGTCTCTCTCCCTCTTTTTCATCTCCACATTTAATAAACTCTTCTTAACTTTAAAAGAGAAAAAGAGAGAACATTGCTGAGAGCTAAATGAAACAGAGAGGTAAGGGGGGAAAAAGTCAGTCAGTGTGCCAACCAAGAAATAATTGGTGACCTAAATATCAGTTTCCAAAAGTCGTAAGAACAACAGGCACATTGTAGGTTCTGGTATGCTCATTCTGTTCTAGGAGATGAATTTCCCTTCCTCCTCCTGTCCTCAGGAGCATTAGAAGAGGTATCAACAGCAATTTACAATGCTCATTACTTTTTGAGAGTTTCCTCAGACATATAAGCAGGTCTTTTAATTCTGATTCAAGCCAAATGCTAGAAACAGAATATTAGTAGCTATATAGAAATAAAGCCTTTATTTCCTGAGGAATGATAAAAGTTGTGGCTTTGTTAGAAGGGATCTTTCAGGTAATAGGGGCAGGGTAGTCAGCATATTGGTCTCTGCAGATAGCTGGCTCCCAGGGGATAGAAATATGTGTTGAACAAAAGAATGAATCAATGCATGAATAAATCATGTCCACACACTTGAAAAACTAAGTTCTGTAAAGATGCACAAATCACTTTCATTCCTCTGACACTTAACTTTTGCAAAGTGGAACATCGAAATCCAAACCTTGGATTATTACTCTTCTACTGATAAATGAATTCACTGGTTCAATTAGTGCAAATATTTTACATAAATGCCAAAAATGAACTATTACTGAGCAGTTCTCAAACTACCTTATGTCCACAGTAACAAAAATATGGCTGCAAACGAATATTCATTATTGGAACATGCATGTTTTGTAAAATAAATAAATAAAATAATAGAAGTGAAAAAAATATTTACAGTGTTATGTTTTAACTATACTTTATCATAAAGATTCCTTTTATATTTTTCATGTATTTTCAAACAAAATAATGGTCTTTGTGCCACTCTTACAAGGTCTAATGAAGTAATTTCAAGTCCTCCTACAACTACCTTGAAAGGTAACTTTGGGAAGTTACTGGATTAACTAAGGTCATCAGAGTGGAACCTCCATGGTTGAATACTAATGGCTTTATCAGAGTGGGGAGATCCTGGCCTCTCCAGAGGCTGAGACAGGAGGATTCCGAGTTCAAGGCCAACCTTGGCAACTAAGACCATTAGATGGATAAGAAAATTACGTGATCTGGTAAGTTTCAAAACAGAAATTACATTTAGAGGGAAATTAGCACGGAGAATCCATGGAATTTTGAAAGTTTTAAAATCTTTGGGTAAACTATGAAGATAACTAAAGGATTTTAAAAATCCCATGTCTTAGTTTTATGTTGGTAATAACAATAACAGACTAGGTAAGTGATAAACAGAAGGGGTTTATTGGCTCATAGTTCTGACCCAAGGTCCTAGAAGCCATATTTTCTCATGACCTTCTTGCTGACAGAGTCCCAAGGTGGCACAGGACATCAGATGGCAAGAGACAGCAAGTGTGTGCACTGTGGTCTCTCTCTTGCTGCTGCTACTGGTTTCCCCTCCTCTCTCCTCCTCCTCCTGCTCCTCTTCCTCTTCCTCCTTTTCCCAGGATTATTCGATTTCTAAGCTACATCCCAATCCTCCTTTTAGTTTATTTTCAACAAGTTCTGCCTAAGTTGCCAAGGTTGGCCTCTAATTTGAGATACTCCTGTCAAGGCCTTTGGAGTAGCAGGCTGTCCTGCACTTCTTTTAAGCCATCAGTATGCTGTTGTGGGGACCCCCCTGATGATCTTAGAGAATCTCAATCACTTCCCAAAGGCCTCACCTCCAAACACCATACTGTGATTAAGTTCCTCACAATGGGGTTTAAACTCCAATACAAGTTTGGAGGGCATAAATTTTACTCAAACTACAACAGCAGAAATCAAAAATAGAACTGGACTATTCACTTGTAAAATATAGGACTGGACTATTCAATTGTAAAATTCATAAGGATTTATAAGACAGAGAGCTGAGGATAGTTTTTTTTCATTGTTTTTAAAAATATTTTTCAATATTTATTTTTTAGTTGTAGTTGGACACAATATCTTTATTGTATTTATTTTTATGTGGTGTTGAGGATCAAACCCGGGACCTCGCACATGCTAGGCGAGTACTCTATCACTGAGCCACAATCCCAGCCCTTTTTCATTGTTTTAAACCAAAAAGGCTAGTACATATATCTGATAGCATAGTCCCTCCTGAGTTCTACCCAACTTCAAATCTCTGCTCCACTTAATTGGTACATTGATTTTTGACAATTTACTTACTTTTTACACCTCAATTTCTTCTAACATGAAAAAGGAATGCAAATGCTTCTTTAAAATGTACCCAGCATTTCACAAGCATATTAGTTAGCTATGAGGATTACAAGACCTTATTAATTCATTATAACTTCAAATACAAATGCTAGAATAAAGAGAAATTTCATCATAATCAGTGCTCTTCTCAAGGTTTCTTCCTACAAAAACTGAAGGGCTTATATATTATGAATATGGAGTTTGAGTTAAATTAACTGCCACTGTGAAGGAAAATTAAAAGCCAGTTTCACATTTTTACTCTTTCCTCTTTCCTTTCCAGTTGGCAGAAAAGTTAAGACAAAGAGGTCACAGACAGAAACTTGATTAGTGTCCAGTGGATTCGGACATAGTCCTGCTAGCCAGTTTTTCAAGGGCACAGTGTAATAAAAACCATTCAGTGAAATGAGGAAGACAGAAGAATATCTAAGTCACAGAGGATGAAGTTAAATTTTACTTCTTTTTCTACTTAGACATTACTTCTTTAAAAAAACAGCAAAACTAAAAATCAGCCAACACACCATTTTATTATTCATTATCTCCAAACATATATGTTCAATACCTCATTTAAACTGCACTCCTCACAAGAACTAAAATTAAATCTTCATTTTCAGTTGCTGCTGAGTACACATTAGCTTGTTACTCAGGATGTCAGGACACTTGCATAACCATTGAACTTCATGAAAATAAAGAAAACTGTATTCTTACTTTAGTCCTAACAGCAAAATAAATCTCAATAAATCAACCACGCCAACATAAAAAAAAAGAGAAGCCATCATTTCTTGGGAAAATTCTGGATTGAAGAGTTTCTAAAACCCAAATGTGGGGGTTGAGGTTGTAGCTCTCAGGTACTCAGCATTCATGAGGCCCTACCTGGGTTCAATTGCCAGCATCAAAAGCAAGAACAAAGAGCAATCAAAAAACAATCAATACATTTGATCACAATAAAAAAATTAAAGTCTTTCTGAAAGAAAAGAACATAGTAATGTCAAAAGACAAGCATCAAACTAGGACAAAGAACGATTTTCTTTGATACACAGATACTTTGATATACAGATATGAATAAGTAAGACATAAAAATGAACAAATGGCAAATAGGCAATTAAAGTAAAAAATAATTTTTAAAGGTTAGCTATATTAAAGATTACCCTCAGGGCTGGGGATATAGCTCAGTTGGTAGAGTGCTTGCCTTGCATGACAAGGCCCTGGGTTCAATCCCCAGCACCACACACACAGAAAAAAATTACCCTCAAAGTGCATGCATTCTGTTATAACCATGACAAGCTATTTCTCAGCCAGTCATGGAAGTACACACCTGTAATGTCAGGTACTCCAGAGTCTTTTAATACAAGGCCAGCCTCAATAATTCAGCAAGACCTATCTCAAAATAAAGTTTTTCAAAAGACAGAATGGGAATATCGCTCAGTGGTAAGGCACTTGCTTTTATGTGTGAGGTCCTAGGTTCAACCCTCAATACCACAAACAAACAAAATCTCACTATGTAATATGAAAGTGATAAAATTAGTGCAAACCCTCTGGAAAGCCATTTGTGATATTCCTCAAGACTGAAAAAATGTACTTCTTATTCCATCCAGCAATTTCCCCACCTAAATTTATTCAATAAGGGTGTGTCCCTATTTATGCACCAGAGGAAGCATGAAGATATACCAGATGCACCATTGATGATGGAAGAAACCACAGAAACCTTGCTTATTGCATCTTGTGTACTCTAGGAAAACAGTTAAGAGTCCAAAAAAGAGAATCACTGAAAGACTGAACAGCGTGCAAGGCAGCATTGGCATCAGTTGGTAAAATCCCATCCGAAAGCAGAGGACTAGTTAATATGTAATATACCCATTTTATGGCATAACAGCAGCTCCAAAATAAGCAAGATGTATGTGTACATGGTCATATGAGACGACTCTCTTGATAAGTCAGGTAAGAAAGGCAGAACACGCATGCACCTGCTTATGTGAATATAGGCCATGGCTGAAAAGGTAAACAGACAAATGACAGACATGGTCCCTGGGTATTGAGGGTAAAGAAATTTTTTCCTTCAGAAAGTTACTTTTAAAAACTTGTTTTGCACTTTTTGCTATTTTGTATTATCTGCAGTATTTTCACTATTTACTTTTTTCAATAAAATTTTTTTTTATTTTATTTTTTTTTATTGGTTGTTCAAAACATTACAAAGCTTTTACTTAAAACAAGGGAAAGAAAAAAAAAAAAAAAAACAACCTCAATGAGGCACATTTAAATTCTGTTCTAGGACTGACTTCCCTGTTCCCAATGTGCAGAACCACATTGAGCAAGGCACTCAGAAAATGGGCTAGATCCCATCCAATTCCTTAGTGCTTACCATGTGCCTGGCACTGTACTGGGCACATCTTGTTCTAACCGTTTAACTGATTAATGTTCAATCCTCACAATCAATCAACAAGATAAGGGTTCTCACCGTTATTTAACAGATAAAGGACAATGAACCCCAAGTAACAAATTCAAGGTCGCATCTCTGATTTCGGTCTTTTCACCACCCTTTCTCTCAAACACTTGGAAACATAAAAGAACCGCCCCGTCATTCCCCTGGGTTCAAAAATATACCGGGCTGCTTTACTGTCTTGACATTTAAATATTACTATTAATAATACTAGTTTGCTAGGGTATGGCTTCGGATCTTCAATTTTACCGGCAATATCATTTTCCTCGCCACACGTAGTTTTTCTGCTCAGATGTGACAATTCTGAGATACCTGCTTCTACTTTCCTATCACAGGATTTCTCCCGGGGAGAGGAAGGCATAAAGTTTCCCCCAAAACTTTACGGGCTCTGGAGACATATCTAGGTCGAATTCCACTGCTTGCCATTACCCCCGAGGGCTCCAACATTTTTTAAGTTTCCCCCTTTGCACTAACTCCAAAAGAACTGGAAGGACCTGCGCGCGATTTCTTCGAAGATCTACACTCGCTGGGAGCGCCCACGCTTGGTGCGTTAGGATCCTGTGGGTCCTGCCGGCAGCCGGAGCGTCCGCAGGGATCCAGGTGAAGTCACAGATGCCCTGCCCGGCTGGCCGGGCGCAGCGCAGCACTTACCCGCCAGGCCAGGTCCAGGTCAAAATCCCGGGCGCGCAGGAATCGAAGTAGAAAGGAATCGGTGAGCGGCAGCGGCGCGAACCAGGTGCCCTCCTCCCGGGCTCGGCGCCGCAGCTCCGCCAGGCTGGGCTGCAGCAGAGACGAGTGGTCCGGCAGCGCGCTGAGCTGCAGCCCGGTTGGCAGCCCCGACCGCATCTCTGCCATGCCAGTGGCGGCCACCGCCGCTGCCAGGGCGGCGGGGGGAAAAGCGCCGGCCCCGCGCCACCCTCAGCCCCTCCTCTGTTGGCCGCTGCCCAGCGCACACCCACCCGCGCACAACCCTCCTCGGGCCTTGCCACCAGGCCCGCGGGAGGGTGAGAGCTGCCTCTTAAAGGAATCCCAGTAGTGATCCCGTGCGGGCTCAACAGGTCTTTAGTAGTTTGAAGTAGTAATTCGAGCCCTTCCTCCTGAGGGAAATCACTGGTGTGTTCAAAGTCAAGAGCACGCTGTCCAAAAGTTACTTGGAAGGTTTAAAAAATCAACTGTCAGAGGACCTTTTGTTCTCCTCCCTCCCTCTTTATCATTCCTTCCTCCCTGGAATCTTGCAGCTGGAAAGAGTCTTAGAACAACCGACTTAAGGGCCCTGCCGCTCCTGAGTCCTAGTCTTTCCATATGGCGCCTGAAACTGTATTACAACATTGTTTCAAAAATGCAGTTCCACAAAGCCACCATAACAGGCTCCTCCCCTTTCTTCCCTCCCAGTCCAGGGAAACCCTTCTGAATTCTTGGCACCTGGCCCTGCTAGTGTCATATACAAATAAATGCCTAGCAAATGGGGAGATTTTTTTTTTTAATGCCATAAACCCATTCTGTTAAACTCCACAACCACTCACCTGCAAGTACGTCTGCAGTTGTACTAGTGTGTACAGTGGCCTAATATGATAGAATCTATGGGATCTTAGGTAGGGAGCAGGAGGCCTGGAACTGAGGCAGAAATCTGACCAGTTGTTTTTAACAGGCCTTTTCTTGATTTCTGTCTGCTTAAAACTACCCAGGAATTGGCCTGTCTTCCCAATAGGGCATTCATAAAACTAAGTCTTTTTTTTTTTTTTTTTTGGTAGTTTTAGATGGACTGAATGCCTTTATTTTATTTGTTTATTTTTACGTGGTGCTGAGGATGGAACCCAGTTCCTCATGCATGCTAGAGAAGTGCTCTGTCGCTGGGGCTACAGCCTCAGCCCCAGTTCTTATTGAATGTACAGTATGTGAGAGGAAAATGCTAGATTTGCAAAAACAAAATCAAATCCTTGCCTTTGAGGAGTTCAGAGGATGGTGATGGAAGCTGGCATTTCATTCATTAAAGAAAAACTTAGGCTGGGGGCTGCATTTGTGGCTCAGCAGTAGAGCACTCACCTAGCACATGGGAGGCCCTGGGTTCAATCCTCAGCACCACATAAAAATAAATAAATAAAGGGATTAAAAAAAAAAAAGAAAGAAAGAAAAAAGAAAAAATGACAGACCTAGGCCTACTGTGGGTGCTGGTGACAATCCTGTGAACAAAACAGACAAAACTCTTACCTTGGGGAGTTTTTGTTCTTGTGGGGGAGTGGGAGACAATAAAGAAGATAAGTCAGTAAAAATGGTATAAAGATGGCAATACATGCAGAACAGAAACCAACTGAAGCAGGAAGTTAAGTGTCTTCAGTTATCAAACAACTGAGAGAAGGAGGGTATCTGGGATTGAAGGGCTACAGGCTTTGTCTTGGATTCTGAGGGAGGAGATGGAATATCAGTAAAGGAGGTAATCAGAAGCCAGTGAATAAGCTAGCATAAATAAAGAGGGGGATCCCAAGCTTTGGTTTATACTTGGAATGAGAGGAAGTTAATAAAGTAAAGGTTGATAAGTCAATGTGAATAGTGTATGAAAGAATTCCCACTCTGTGGGAGCACAGAGGAAAACCACCTGATTCCCTAGCAGCTTGGCCTGGGGGATGCATTGGGAGCATTTGCTAGGTGAAAGAGAAGGGGAGGACAGGAAGAAAAGTACCATTTGGAACTCTGAATGATTAACAAGACAAGAGAAGCCAGTCTTCTCAAGCAGTTTTAAGTGTTTAAAAGTAATACTGAGAGAGTTCATATAGCATGATTCCTTCTCTTAAAGAAAAAGTTGTTTGTTTTTTTCCAAAAACAACCTCTAACTTGTTTTTAGTAATAGCATCTTCTTCTGGAAATTTAGGTAGAAATTTCAGTAAGATATACCAAAGGCCTTATCTAATTAAGTATCCTTTTTAAAAAGTGTACCATAATGTGAATGTGGAATCCAAAGTTGTTATTTATGCACAAAAAATATCAATTGATTGTCATTAAACTTGTTAAAACTAGAGCCAGTTTGAGTTCAGATGGTTGTGACAGGTGACTCCTAAATACCACACAAAGAAATGGCAGTGGAAATAGTAGAGACTTATAATTAGAATGTGAAGTAATTTCAATGTTGGCAGGTAGTCCACTTGTAAAAAAAAAGAGTACATCATTAAGGGAAAAAAATGGAGAAATGGTGGCGTAGACATACCAGGTGGCACTTTTACATTTAAACTTGATTACTTCTGGTAAATGATGAAGATGTGCTGTCTTTTGACAATGTTTCTTAAATCTATAAAAAAAAACTTGGATTCTTGAATTTTCAAAAGATGCTACTCTAGTTCTGTTTTGAAGTGTTTTGAAATTTGTTATGTTCATGTTATACACTGTGAGGACTCACACTTAGTGAAAACACATATAGGCCACTGGTATAAAGATTTCAAAGGGTAGGTGTAGAGGCCTACACCTATAATTCCAATGGTGGGAGTATCCCAAGTTCAAGGCCAGAATGGACAACTTAGTGAGATTGTGTCGCAAAATAAAAATAAAAAAGGGCTGCGGTATAATTCAGTAATAGAGTGCCCCTGGGTTCAATAGCTAGTATCACACACACACAAAAAAAGAAAATAAACAATTCTAAAGGGGTTTCTGGAACTAATGGTATTAGTCAGGGTTCTCTAGAGGAATAGAACCAATGGAATATACATATAAGAGGCAGTTTATGGGGCTGGGGATGTGGCTCAAGCAGTAGCATGCTCGCTTGGCGTGCGTGCGGCCCGGGTTCGATCCTCAGCGCCACATACAAAGATGTTGTGTCCGCCGAAAACTAAAAAAATAAATATTAAAAAATTCTCTCTCTCTCTCCCTCTCTCTCTCTCTCTCACACACACTCTCTCTTTAAAAAAAAAAAAATAGAGGCAGTTTATTAGACTGGTCTACCCAGACAGAGGCTGGATGGTCCCACAATGGCTATCTATGGTCTGCAGAGCTAAGGAAACTAGAAGATGCTCACTCCACAAAACAGAAGCCACAGAAAAAGAGGGACAAATGATGTTGCCCCAGTCCAAAGTTAAATGCCATGAAGCTTCCTGGAGAATCACTGGTGTGAGTCTGAGTTCAAAGGCTGAAGAATTGGTAATTTTATGTCTGAAGTTGATAGCAGCAGCGAAAAACATATCCACTCAAGAAGAATCAAGCTTGCATGAGATTTATCCTCTTCCATTTTTTGTTCCCTCTGAGCCTCTAGACTATTGGAGAATGCTACCCACATTCAGGTTTAAGTTCATTATCCCACATGCCAATCATCTCTGGAAATACCCCTTACAGACACACTCAAAAGTGTACTTCACCAGTTTTTGAGGCAGTTCAGTCAAACCAACAACCAAGATTAACCATCCAAAATTTTATCAAGAAATAAAAGCAAAAATGTAAGGAAAAATTAGTTCAAAATATTTGCAACTAGCTTACAAGTGTCTCTAAAATTATTTAATGATTAATTATTCATCCACACATAATAATTTATAACAATCAATTTATATGCTTTCAGATCCCTAGAAAAGACATAAATAAATATTTATTTATAAAAGATAACATTTTCAAAAATAGTAAAATTATGAACATGTGTTAAAGATTTTGTTCCATTCATAAGGAGGAAACCAGGCAGGTGTTATGCCAACTTCAAAGAATAAATTTTAAAAAGTACACTTTTATATGGAGCAAAGAATGTTGAAATAAATGTGCCAATGGAAACAAAATGAACTGCTTCCCCAGTGAGAGAGGAAGATCTGCCCAAGCAGGACAGAATTTGCATGTTCTTAAACAGGAATTATTTGCCCCCTTGCCACCAGTTATCTACAATTTGTAGAGTTGTGAAATAACTTGATTAGAATCACAATCCAATAACCCCAGAAGTGTCATCTAGTATCTACATAATGCATAATTTTGCACTGAAACACAAATTTTACCCTCTATCCCTTGGGAAACCTTATTTTTAAAGTTTTAACAAATATATTTATCATGAAAATGTTCAACATAGGTAGAAAGAATAATAACAAATACCAGTGTACAGCCTGCTTCAGCAAGGAATGCTATTTTGCCAATCTCATTTCTCTCTCCTACTTTGTTTTTTCTTCTAAAACTTTATTAGTGCACTACAGTTATATGTAAAAGTGGGATTTGTTGTTACACATTCATACAGGCATAATACATGCATATAATAGAATATTATTTGATCAATTTTTTCACCAGAACCTCCTCTTTCCCTCCCCTTGATTTCCTTTTCTACTGTACTGGCCTCCCTTCAATTTTCATGAGACTACTTTTTTAATAAGTTGAAATATTTTAAAGAAATAGCATAGAGCTTATAATTTTTCTGGTAAATACAACAAAAATGCATTTTTAATTGTTTTGGTAAACAATGAGGATTATCACTAAAAAACCCTTTTCTATACTTTAGAAAAATGTAAGTTTTCTAATATCATCTAATACCCAGGTTATATTGATATACCTCTAATTGTCTAAAAAAATATCTCTTAAATTGTTTAAGAAGTAAGAACCACCTAAAGTGCAAAAATAACTGAAAACAGGAGCAGACCTCACAGATCAGCAGCCCCTTTTATCCAATAGTGGAGTCAACTGGTCAGGCATTGGAGGGACTCACTTTCTCAGTAGAAAATGGCTCTGGGTTATAGGAGCAGTCTGTGCTTCTGTAGGTTACAATGTGGAATGACTTAATCATTGGAGACTTTGGCAAGATGTGCCAGTTTGGGCAGTCAGGAAAAGGTTGTAAAAATTTTGAAACTCATTATTACTGGGAAAGGATGGAGGGTCCAGAATTCAACACTTAGTGCTTATCTTTCTCCTTTGGGATC